TTGACGTGAACACCAACCGACCAGCGAATGCGATTTGGGAAGATCTCGCCGGCCAACTGTGCACAGCAGCAACGGAAGCACTGGGGCTAACTAAGCCGGGAAAACACTTCATTGACAAGCAAATATGGTGGTGGAACGAAGAAGTTTAGCTAGCAGTGAAAGAGAAGAAGCTAGCTTTCAAGAAGTGGCGCCAAACGCTCGCAGATCTGGATTACCAACAATACAGAAACTGCAAATCGGCAGCGAAGCGAGTAGTTGCAGCGGTGAAATTAGCTCAATACGACCAACTGTATGTCGAACTGGACACCCCAGAAGGTGCCAATAAGATCTATCGACTGGCAGAGGCGCGCCATCGTTCGACTCAGGATATTGGTCAGGTCAAATGCATAAAGGATGAGAATCACAGCGCTCTCAGAGACCCGCCCGCCATCCTTCAACGCTGGAGCGACTACTTCTCTGGAATCAGCAACCAGGAATTTCCCCACCCACCTATTATTAGCGCTGAACACGTCCTCGGTCCGGTTTCACCTATCACCATCACCGAAGTGAAATAAGCTATCAAGAGAATGAAGAATGGGAAAGTGACTGGCCCGGACGATATCCCGGCTGAGGCCTGGAAGATCCTTGGCAGGCAGGGTGCTGCCCTCCTTACCCAGCTCTTCAGCACCATCACGAGCACCAGTGAGGTCCCAGAAGCCTGGTCGACCAGCACGACGGTTCCAATTTGAAAGGGTAAAGGGGACGTGGCAGAATGCTCGAATTACAGGCCAATCAGGCTCCTGTGTCATGCGATGAAGATCTTTGAGCGAGTTTTGGACACGAGGATTAGAAACATCATCACCCTATCACCCAACCAATGCGGCTTCGTCAAAGGATGTGGCACTACGGACGCCATATTCGCGGCGAGGCTCCTTGAAAAGGCATTTGACAGGGTCCCCCACGACCTCATCTGGCACTCGCTTCGATCCCATGGAGTTCCTGAAACCTACGTGCATTGGGTGCAACTCCTATACAAGAACGTCACCAGTGCAGTCAGGTGTGCAGTGGGCATATCACCGCCATTTCCCATCAGCGTTGGAGTGCACCAAGGATCGGCCCTGTCACCACTCCTGTTTATCCTGTGCATGGACACGATCACTGCCGACCTGCACACGCCCCTTCCATGGTCAATTCTCTACGCGGATGACGTCCTCCTCTCAGATGAAGAGAGAGGAGAAGTGAAAAGACAAACGTGCTTGTGGAAGGAACGTTTGGACGAAAACGGGATGAGGTTCAACATCAAAAAGACGGAGTATATGGAGTGTGGCTCCCAAACCGACGGCACCATCAGCATTGACGGAGAAGATCTGAAGAAAGTGACGAACTTTAAGTACCTGGGCTCCACCATCAGCTCAGATGGTAGCATCACGACTGATGTGAGGTCACGAGTCAATGCGGCGTGGATGAAATGGAGGCAAGTCACCGGAGTCCTCTGTGATCGGAAAATGTCGGATAGGCTGAAGGGAAAAATATACAAGACCATCGTCCGACCGGTGGCACTCTATGGATCCGAGTGCTGGCCAGCCACAACTGTACACGAACAAGCTCTCCACACCATGGAGATGAGGATGCTCAGATGGAGCCTCGGGCTCACTCGATGGGATCGTGTCAGGAACGAAGACGTTCGGAAGCGACTTGGTGTGGCCCCCATTGCGGACAAGATGCTTGAGGCAAGGCTTCGGTGGTACGGCCATGTGATGCGAAGTGAAGAGTCATCAGTGGCCAAGACTGCCGTGCGTATTGAGCCAGAGGGCCGCCGTCCACGCGGACGTCCGAAGAAGCGATGGATGGATCGAATAAAGGAAGACATGAAGACGGTCAACGCATCCCCTGAAGATGCCCTGGACCGAGCCAAATGGAGAAGACAATGCCGAAAAGCGGACCCTGCGCCACATCGGGAACAACGCTAGGAAGAAGAAGAAGCACGATACCTCCCTCGGTGGTGTCGCGAGCAAGCGGCTTGCGCAACCGGAGGGGGACGAGTATCTGTCCCCCTGGGGGAACCGTAACCGTTTTCAGTAACAAGCGCCTGTACCAACGCACAGCCCTTGGCCGTGTCATCGGGCGACAATAAGAACGCGACGCGTTGCCCCGAAGGCAACTCCAAACACCTATGGTCCGTGAGGATTTTTACGGGCATCTGCCCGAGGAAGTTTGTCCCCAACAAACACGGCACTGCCAGGCAAATCGGAAACCAGGACGGGCCCCTGCAATGAAATGCCACCGATGGAAACCTCCACGACTATCTGACCCAAAATTCCCAGCGAACCCCCGCTAGCCGCAAAATAGGGAATGGGGAGGGGACATAACAGGCGGCAATGGGCCGGCAAAATATTAAAAATTTATTCCGAAATAATGGTGGCGGAGGCACCGGTGTCAATGAGGATCCGCACATCAATGCCCTGAATGGTACCCACGACCGTAGATGACCCGACGGCCACGGCCACGACTCGATGGGCCAACTGCGAACACTGGGCATGCCCGAAGGCCCAATTCTCACCCGATGCGGCGGAACCCCCGCGCGGTGCAACCCGACGTGAAGGAGTAACGAGCGTACGCGGATCAACACGATCGAAAGATAGGTGAGGTGGGAACGAGGGCCGAATGTGTGGTGCACCGCGACTCACCTGGGGACTCTTGGAAGTTGAAGGCGTACATTATCAGAGTTGTGTTTTGTTTGCATTCCGACTGCAGGTATTGTGGTCAATGCAAACATAACTTCTTGTAAAACAGGTGTCAGTTTTGTTGCAAGATAAAAGGGTAAAAAACAATTATCATATTTTGCTATTGGAAAATGAGGTTCCAATGGTGTGAATGGTTACCCCAAGCTCTCATACTCTGATGATGCATTGTCTTTGAGTTGTGTGCCTTTTGGCGTCATCTGGTCCAACACCATGTGAGACTAGGCTCTAAGGAAAGCTGTCTCGGGTGTGGACCAATCAATTTCAAGGACAGTGCATACATTATCAGAGTTGTGTTTTTGTTTGCATTCCGACTGCAGGTATTGTGGTCAATGCAAACATGACTCCTTGTAAAAAAAAAAGGTGTCAGTTTTGTTGCCAGATAATAGGGTAAAGAAACTATTATCATATTTTACTACTGGCAAAGGAGGTTCCAATGGCACCTTTTAATGTTTAGTTTTATCTGTGCATCGTTTTCCATTTATTATTATTTAACACGGTTGTTTTTGGCTCTGATTTCTATTTGCTTTACTGTTGCACTTTTTTTGCGTGATTGTTTTCGTCATTTTGGTGACCCGGGTCACTGTTGCAAATGAGACTCCATCCTGGCCCATTGAGTTTTCATCACCTGGTTAAACAAATTCAACCTTAACCTTCACCTTCCACTCACATAGAGGCAGAACACAACTGAGAACAATATGGACTGGTGGAGTGGAAGAGGCAACGGATCTGAGATTGGAGAGGGATACATCAGCTACAGAAGGGACGTGATGATGATGATCGGGGACTCAGTAGCCTCGCTAAAGGGACCAGACGGGCGACAATCCACACGGCGTGGGGAGGCGTCGTGTTTGCGTTGCACTTCGGCAAGTAAAGCGGGATTACCCAGAATTCGCTGGCGCGCGATCGTGCGTCCTGCGATCGTGCGTCCCGCAAAACTCCCCAACTCGTACCATGTAGGACATTTCCAGATCTGTGGGACTTGGAAACGACCACAGATTTTTTTTTTACGGTCCCGCAGCTGACACGGAATTTTCCATTTGACTAAAAATGGGAATGTGTAGCAGGCCTCTGAGTGGAAACCCCCAATGTAAATAGCGCTACCATTGCTCACGGTATTTAAGTTGTCACTGCGCGGTGGGTCCACGCCCGATTTATGTGTTATTGTACTCCAGCGAGAGCATTCCACACGGGCGGGTTGTTGTGCCAAAAGCTACATCATCATTTACATTTTTGATCATCCGCTGTGCAGTACGAGCGGACGTTTTGGTGCGAGTCCAAAGGCGACGCTAGTGTTTTATTTTAAGAGTTTGTCTGGGTTGGTTCAGGGGTCAGAGATACCTGAGCTGGCCCCGCTGGGAATTCAGGGTTTTAATTCAGGGTCTCATCCCTCACGATTAAACTGAGTTCTGAAATGCAGTGACTTGACAGACTGATCACCGGTGACTACACACATGCTCAAAACAAATCATGTTATATCTGGTTTTTAAATGCATTTTATCTACCCCGGTCACATTCAGACCCATTCTAAACCCCGCATCGTGTTGTGAAACTCCAGTTGGTGCCCCACAGGGTCAATGACAAAACCGGGTGAATTTCTGGAAGTTCACTCCAGGATTAAACGTGAAATGCGCTGTACCAGCATCAAACGTGACATGCGCTGTCCCAGATGAAGCGATGGGCCCCTGTCACCCGCTCTTCCTCGCCACCTCTCACCGCCCTCCTTCTCCTCTCCCCGTGCTCGCTAATCCCTGGATACAGCCGCGCTTTTGTGAAGGAGCACGTGGCACCGTGTGCTTCCCGTCCGCGTGAACCCGTTTGCTCCGCTCCCCCGAGCGTCGAGTCTGGCGCGGGGTTCCTCCTGCGCACACCCCGCAGCCCCCTCTACCCCCTCCCACCACTGGCCCCGCCTGCCAATTACCCAAGGTTCACAGAGGATGGCAGAACCACTTAATTACCAGTCACCTGCTCTGACGCTCCGCTGCTTTGTTTGTCTTCGAAATCGTTTTTGTGCTAATGTGAGACCTCGGATGATTTAGCTCTGACATGCGTGTGCTTGTTTTGGCCGTAGTAATAATAATGATGCAGTGCAGCAAAGCGATTTAGTCGTACGCGGTATTACTTTTTAGTGGCCACGTTTGATTCGATCCCACCAGCATGAACACGCACGGAAAATAAAATAATTTCTCCGTCCAGGAAAAAAAGCACAAATACTTTATTTTACTTACAAAGTTACAAAATGTACAATACATGCACATATATATATACTGTATACTGGAGATTAATGCAAGCTAGAGATCAGATACAGGTGAGATTTATTGATTTTAATATCGCACTCACAATGCGATCTTTTCTATATACCTCACAATTACATTACTCAGAGCCGCACCGTAGCGAGCAATTACAAGATACTTTCTTGATCGTCTTTCAATATTCATACGATAATTTTATTAGACAATAATTATTTATTTAAAATAATAAATGTACGTTACCACCCTCACCATCGTCTTTACCAGCCCCATTCCCTGCCACCATCATTCTGGTGTTCACAATTTGCATCGTTGTGGGTACCAGGCCCCAGGTTCTCTTGTATGGGAAGCGGCGAGGGGGAGGGGGGTATGAGATCGTACAGCTAAGGAGGAGAGTGAACTTGGGTGGTGCCAAAGGGACATCTGGCTGTGTAGGGCCATCCCCAGAACCTCCAAAGGCTTCGGCCCTGGCGAGTGCCATGGCTGGCAATGACAGCGGCGCTTTTCTTACCATTCACCCTTGATGTGCATTCAAGACGGGTCAGTGAGCTGCCACTGCTCAAATTATCACTGAGGCATTGGGTGCTCATCTCCTGTTTACAGCCCTGTAGAGCCAGTGGTGGCAATTCTACGTTCATACGCGGGGGAAACTCACCTACAGAACAACCACTGTTGACTTCCCCACCAGTGGTACTCACTTTATCGACCCCAGACGGATGATGGGCTGAGTCGACACCCCCCTAACGAGGATTTGAACTCACAACTTGCAATCCGCCCGATATGTAATTCTGTATGGTAATGGGAGGAAAAGTGTTGGACGTGAAAGGTCATGAACCATGTAAATTAATTAATCACCATCATCCAAACCATCAAAGACAAAAATCCCCCATATGGCCTTAACAAACTTTTGGGGCAAGTGCTGTTAGCGAGCACATATGAAGGCCGGAACAGCACACGGGAGGATGGGTGGCCAGCACCATGCCCGACCACATTTGTCTCCTGAGTCGCGATGTTTACACACCGCACCACGTACTCATTTGAGGCTAAGTTAATCTAGGGGAGGCCCAGGACCGGTTCAGATAATCATCACTGGTGTTGGCCATGAGTGTGAATCGAACTAGGTTCACAAGATTCATAGCGCGGCACGGTAACCGCTGTGCCACTGCTCCCTACGATCACTATTACCCCCACCACCACAGTGACAACCAACATAAGATCACTGTTATTACCACGATCACCGACATCTAGTGTCATTTCAGATATGGAATGCCTAAACACGTGACAACGGGTGAAACATTTGTTTGAAACAAAAAGTGAATTGTAATTACATATAACAGTAATTATACACTAAACTCGCAGTGCAATTGTCATATTTTGTATCATCACTGTCATCATTATAATCATCATTGTTATCATCACCATCATCATCGTCATAATTGTCAAAATCATCATCGTCATCATCGTCAAAATCATCATCATAACCATCATCATTATCTTCACCGAACATGTGGGAGAGGGGATGGTAGTTTATCCATAATTCTCAACGCTCCACGACCTTCTCCTGACGACGCCAATGACGATGAGTCATTAGCCAAAGTGAAACCTCCCGGGTTTGCAGTCCACGGCCACTGATGACGAATCCCCACCACCCTGAGTCAGGCTTAACAGAGCAGTCACAAATGTGTCAGCACGGCGGCGTGGCGTCAAAGGCGCGCGCGAGGGGGACCGTGCCGGTACGCGCCACGCTCCGTCAACTGCTGGAATGATAGACGAGGGCTCAAGGACAAAATTACATTGAAATTCAAAAAGCCCACCCACCATGGAGTATACAACCCCCCCTCCCTCAAATTAATATCACTACTGCTTACGATTAGCATGGTTGGCTACGTACGGTGCAAAAGAAGTTCAACATGCATACACGTGTTACTTAACGCATGCTTAATGTGGAGAAATGTTGAAATGCTAAAATGCTAAAAACATCCGTTACAGAGCACAAACAGTCGCTTTGTGTTGTCAAAGGTAAAGGTGCGGCCCAGCAAATTTCTGCCAATACCACTGCTGGCAGAAAGGCCTCTGCTAGAAACGAGCTCGAGGGGGTATTTGTTTTGGCTAACCATCGAATAGAAATGTTCACCGCATCGCGCTGCACTTTCATGTGCTTCTGGGGCCGTCTAGAACGCTCTTCCTTTCGATATTAGGAAGCCACTGGAGCTATGCCACTTTTAAATCGAGATTGAAAACTAATTTCTTTCGAACTGCTTTTTGTGTTTCGTTTGTTGTCCTGCCCCGGCACCTCCGATTTGAACGGTTGGCTACGTACGGTGCGAAAGAAGTTCAAAAGACATACATATACATCTGTTCCACTCTTCCATATTGACCAAACGTGTTGGAAGAGGTGGGCGATTACCCACACTGCGCCGCATCACGTGCGACCTGCCGATCAACTGGCTGGGCGGGGGTAGGGTAGGGATTCTAGAAACATGCCCAATCGTCGCAACTGCCACGGCGGCAGATGGAATTGAACTCATGCCTCTGGAATGCAAGTCTATTGAGCTGACCCTTACACTGCGGCAGCCCCATAGCTTTTGTTAATTAATTTATTTAGAGTTACTTGCTTACATTTTCTCTATAATATAGGTTTTTGGGTTAGATCTCGTAAATATGAATGTCATTAAACCCGCCACCACCCGACACATCCAAATAGTAAGCTTTGTCACGTAAACAAAACATGCCAATTCGTTACTCGTACAGCACACCGAGACATTCATATTTTCGCGATCTAACCCAAAAACCTCTATTATGGATACTATCGTCGTGAACGCCTCCTATGTGTTAAACCTTTTCTCTACTTCGCACTCTATCGTTATTTTTGTATTTGTTGTTGTAACTTGCTAACCCACCCCTTGTTTGACATCTTGTGTGAAAAAGAGCTTCATAGCTCATCGGATTCCTGGGGCGAGTCTGGATTCTTCTGCAAATTGTCTAAAGCAGTCCCCTGTGTAGATTCCGTTGAAGCATTGGTAAACGAACGTATCCGTGAAATTATTTGTAAGCAAGGGCAATTGTGCATTACGAGTCTGGTAAAAAAAAAGCATCTTGGGCCACTTCAAAAAAGGACATACTGTATACAAATATTGTGGCTCCTTTGTATGTTTTTTTTTTATCTCTCTCGCTACATATAGCTACGCATGCCCCGGGTCTCCCTCGTCAAAGAGAGAACGGGGTTCTCGCCTGGCTAAATAAATAAAACACTGCACGGGTTACAAAGAGAGGCGATGCCTCTCGCCTTGTAGGGGCGGGCGGGCGGTTGTCCTTCGTCTCGCTTCGCCCAGACAGATTTGCCATGGACCCCGGTGGCGGCCTTGCCCACGTGAAGCGCCGTGGTCGTAGGACCGCCGCGTCCCTTCTGTCGTCTCTCAGACCCTCACCTCCCTCGCCCACAACGACCCCCATAAATACTCATATAAATTAAAATAAAAACTTCACACGAGCGCGCACACATACACACGACGTGAAACATGCAATAGCAGTGACCGGAGAGTTGTGCGTGGGGGGGGGGGGGCGCCGAGAGGCTACCGGTAGTTCATCATGGCCGAGCCGGGAAAAGCATTGCCATCCATGCCCTCCGCGTCGCCAGCTTCTCCCTCCTCCGCTGCCGGGAAGAGAAGATGACGGGTGGAGACGAGGTGAGCCACGTTCTGTACTCCATGGCGCGACTGCTCTCATCGTTCTTATTACAACAATTATGATTATAATAAAGAGGTGAATTAAAATTAAAGGTGCAGCCCTGCAATGTCTTGTTCACGTCAATGCTGACAGAAGGGGCCTCCACTGGACGAAAGGGAGCTCAAGACAACTCCTCTAGAGGGTGGGTTTTCTTTTTATTGCCCAACTATTCCACACTGGCTAGACATCTTGGAAGATAAATCCGGTGAGCTACTCAGCTCTTTTTCACAGATTATCCAGGAATCCCCTTCACTCATCCACACTGACCACTATGACGAAGTACGTTCACATTACCCCTATGACACGCACAGTGTGTAATGGGCTTCACCCTGAATGCGATTGATTAATAGTTGTGTAGTAGTAGTAGTATTATTATTGTTAGCCCAGGAAGGCCCTAATTGAGTCTCAACATTTTTTTCCAGCAGGATCATGCTACATTGGGGTGTTTGGCGAAATTCCACATACGCACGCGGGGAATAACACTGAGCTCTGCCACAGATGAATTCAATAATCTGTTGCAGTACTCAAACCATTTGGCATGAAAAATAAAGTGATTGGTCACAATATGCAAGTATGATGATATCATGGACAGGTAATGCGTGTACATCTCTCAGAACACAAAGACAAAGTTCCCGCATATTGCCTTTAACAGACTGTTGGGGAAAGTGCTGTTAGCAAATAGCACCTATGAAGGCTGGAAAGGCACACGAGGAGGTGGGTGGCCAACACCACGCCCGGCCGCCTTTGTCTCCCTAGTGGCGATGTTTACACACCGCACCTGGTACTCATTTGAGGCTGAGTCGACCTAGGGGAGGCCCAGGACCGGTTCAGATTTTCGTCACCAGTGTCGGTGAGTGGAGTTCGTAGCGCAGCAGCGCGATAAACGCTCGCTACACAGCCGCTCCCCACGAACACAGGTGCTACGTCACAAGCGTGCCGTTTAATATGTGTACCAGGTGCGGGGTGTGTGTCACGGGCGTAGCGTGCGTAGCAACAGGCATAGAGAGCTTGGAGCAGTTGGAGAATGCAAAGCAATCTTTGGAAACACCGTCTCGAGGTATGTGCGTATGCGTGTGTGTTGAATTTCTTTCGCACCGTACGTAGCCAACCGTGCTAATCAGAGGTGCGGGGAAAGGACAACTAAACACAAAAAGCAGTTCTTAAGAAATCCAGATTAAACATTTTCAATCAACATTTAAAATGTTACGCTGGGATCAATTAACTTTGTTATCATTACCACCACCCACTCGCAGCTCAGCAGAGTCAAGCACAGCTTTGGTTTACGCGCACACATAGGTAGCCTACGAGAGCACAGTCCGATCTAATTTTAATGACGTAGTGTGAGAATTCGCCGAATTGTGGCCGCGTGCAAATCACTTGCATGGCTCCCATTGAGCTTTCGGCTCCTGGCGGGAATTCATATAAACAAACTCGGTTAAACCCAGAGCCATTCGTTTGAAGCGTTTCTCATAATAATGCTCTTTCCGTGGAAAAGACTCAACCAAAGCCTCAACACTCACCGTTTTTCTCAATGGGGACCTACTATATTGAGATGTCTGGCGAATTCCGTTTGCAAGTGTTTGGTTGCATGTGCCGGAGAAAACCAGAGAACACAATCCTCCCCCAGCACCCCCAAGTATTTGAGCAGGAAACACATATAACTCCGCATAGATAGATTTGGTAATCAATCGCTCTGCTGCCATCTCCTGGCCACCACTGCAGAAATCATGTTTAGCCAATTGCATTCACGAACATTTGGCAAGTGGTGCATGAGCAGGTAACGATTAAACTATTTAGTATTTTGCCAGGTATAGCTATGTAGCTCTTTTTTCCAGATTCCAAAGAACACAGGATGAGATGTTACTATCCTTTGTGCAAGCACTTCCAAGAGTTCATGAACAGTGAGCCTGGTGAAATTTGGGGAGCGCATCGTCAGTAGTGAACCTTTGGGTCCTAGGGTGTTTCAGCCTTTCATACTATACACCCTCCCCAAAGGCGGCCAGCGACAGGGTGATCAATCCTACGCTTGCGTCCCATTCCCAATTAGTCATAGGAGTTGCCTTGTTGTTGATAGCCAACATCCCATGGGACTATGCATGGCAGGGGCGTCCTCCTCCCTGAGTCAAGCATTGTTGACTGCATACCTCCTGGCCCTCTCACTTTGGGGCCCAGCTGGAGTCTTTCCTCTTCATCCAGAGCCACTGACTGCTGCCTTCTGCCGCCTCCAATACAGCTCTGATTGCCGAACGCTGGCTCTGGCCCTTAATTCCCAGGTCTCTAAGCAGTCTGGTTGTAGATGTTGCCACAAAACCTCTGCAGCCCACCTCCACTGGTCGGACTTCTGTGTTCCAGCCATGATGCCGTGCTTCGGCAGCTAGATCGGCATAGCGCAGATGTTTTCGCTCATAAGCCTCATCTACTGAGTCCTCCCAAGGTACTGTGAGCTCAATGATGAAGACCTTTTTGAGCGAACGGGACCAGAGCACCATGTCAGGTCTTAGGGTGGTGGTTGCGATCTCCGGAGGAAACACAAGTTGCCGGCCAATGTCAGCTAGCATTTTCCAGTCGCGGGCCAAGCGCAGCTGGTCTCGCTCTATTGGTGTAGAGCCGCTCTTCGGTGGTTTAGCCCCTTCGCGGACAAAGGTCGTCTGTAAGGGGTGTGATGCTGCTGGGGGTGGTAGGGAGTTGGTGGCAGCTCGCTTGTCCTCCAGGGCGGACGCAAGGTTTTTAAGGACTTGGTTGTGACGCCAAGTGTAGCGTCCTTGGGTGAGGCTTGTTTTACACCCTGTGAGAATGTGTCTGAGGTTGGCTGGCATGGAACAGAGGGCACAGTCCGGATCTTCACCATACCATTGGTGAAGATTAACTGGTGTTGGAAGGACGTCATATGTTGCTCTGATGGAAAAGCTCAACCGCCTCGCTTCCATGGCCCACAGATCCTTCCAGCTGATATTCCTCTTCTCCACACTGTCCCATCGAGTCCACTGTCCCTGTTTGGCAAGAGAGACTGCCTTGGCCCACTTTGCAGCCTCCTCCTGATGGCGTACTTCCTGCACTACCATCTTCCTCCGCTCTGGTGCAGTGGCCTTACTCCAAGCAGCACGTCTAGTTAGCCCAAGGCCTCCTCTCCCTTGCTGAACATGACCCACAATGTCAGCATGTCTGAGGGCTGCTGTTGCCTCCTGGACTGCTTTTCCTGGCCTCCATTTGCGCCCAGTTGCCAAGGTCGGCGCGTTGTTGCTCACCACTGGGTCTCGAGATTCATTCAGTGTCATCTGGAGCCTGGTTTTTGCACACTTGAATTCCTCGGTTAGACTGGTGAGGGGCAGCTTGAGGACACCATCTCCTTAGAGGCATATGGTGGTAAGGCATCGTGGAACTCCGAGCCACTTCTTTAAGTAGCTCGTGACTCTTCTTTCCATCTTCTCCACTGTTGAGATTGGAACCTCATACACTGCTAGGGGCCACAACACCCGGGGTAGGAGACCAAACTGCAGACACCAGGCCTTTAACTTTCCAGGTAGCTGGGTGTTGTCGATGGACTGTAGGCTACTACTGATGTCTTTGCGCAGCTGTTGCACCTGGTCTTTGTCCTTCAGGCTTGCATCATACCACCTTCCAAGGCTTTTTACCGGCTGCTCAGACACTGTTGGGATTTGGTCATCTCCAATGAAGAATTTCAGGTCACAGAGTACTCCCTTCACAATCGAGATGCTGCGTGACTTGGATGGTTTAATCTTCATACGGGCCCAGCTGATGTTCTCCTAGAGTTTTCTGAGCAGTCTCCTGGTGCATGGGACAGTGGTGGTCAATGTTGTAATGTCGTCCATGTAGGCTCTGAGTGGAGGGAGGCGAAAACCAGAGTCGACTCGCTGTCCACCAGCAACCCATTTTGAGGATCTGATGATAACGTCCATTGCCATTATGAATGCCAATGGAGAAATGGTACATCCCGCCATTATATCTACATTCAGGCATTGCCATGAGGTGGTGAACTCTGAGGTGGTGAAGCAGAACTGCAGATCCTGAAAGTACGACTTCACCAGGGTTGTGATGGTGTCCGGTATGTGGAAAAATCTGAAGGCAGACCACAGGAGTTCATGGGGCACAGAGCCAAATGCATTGGCGAGGTCGAGGAAGACTACATGGAGGTCCCTTTTCTCCACCTTGGCCATTTGGATCTGGTGCCAGATCATGCTGGAATGTTCCAAGCAGCCAGAGAACCCTGATATTCCTGCCTTCTGTACAGATGTATCGACGTACGCATTCCTTTGCAGGTACTCGGCCATCCTCTGGGCAATGACCCTAAAGAAGATTTTACCCTCGACATTCAGTAAGGAGATTGGGCGGAATTGGCTGATGTTCACTGCATCCTTCTCCTTAGGGATCAGGACCCCGCCTGCCCTACGCCACACTTTGGGTATTATCTTTTTTTGCCAAGCTGTTCCCATAAGCCTCCAGAGGAACCTCAGGACGTCTGGTGCGTTCTTATACACTTTGTACGGGACTCCATTTGGCCCCAGGGCTGATGCTGTTCTTGCCCTTCGAACTGTGTTTTCCACCTCTTTCCATGTCGGAGGGCTGGTCTCAATATGATGTTCCGGGGGTTCAATGGGTGGGATATCTGATGGGATGGCCAGATGTTCATGTCGCTTTGAGTCAAAGTTTGTTGTTCTCAGGTGCTCTTCTATGTCTTTCTTTGTTGTTTTTAGAACTCCACTTTTTTCCTTCGTGAAGAGACTTTTAAGGAACTTGAAGGGATCTTTATAGAATCGAGTTCTAGTTTGTTCTTTCTTCCTTCTACGTTTCCGTAGGTTCTCTGCTCTACGGAGGGATGCCAACCGGGTTTTAATGTCAGCCTGAAGTGCCTCTATGCCCTCCTTTTCCACTTCCGAGGCTTTCTTCCACTGTTTCTTAAGCTGTCTCCTTTCTTGAACGAGGTGCTTGATTTCTTGTTGCCTCCTGGAAACTGGTGGGGTTGGAACCTTTCTCCCGCCTTTTGCCTCTTGCACTCCAAAGCTTTCTGCCCCGTACTCATAGATGATGTCCCCCATCCTCTCCAACTTCTTCTCCACTGTGCCTCGAAGTTTCTCGAGGGTCAAGGTAAGGTCAGTATTCACTGTTTCCCACAACTTCTTGTCACTGGCGCCAGGCCACTTTACATACGGTCTGTGCCCTGGTAGTCTCCTCTCGACTGCAGGTCTGGGAGGCTGGGTGAGTTCCACTGCTGTTGTTGGTTCCACCTCAGTTGTTACTTTGGTGCTTGAGTTTACATCCTCCATGACAGTGGTACTGATGCACTGCAAACTATGGTTTGCGTCCAGTTGCTGTGCTTCATTTGACTGATTTGATCGCTTTCGCAGAAAGTAATCAATGCGAGGCCTCTGTCTCTCTTTACCCAAACACCGCTTCTTCCCCTGGTGGATCCTCAACCCATGGTGTGATGTAACTTTCCTCCAACCACAGACACATACCTGCATCTGTTTGTGGCCTGCTGTTGTAGCGGAACTTGTGACAGTTGCTGTGGTGTTCTCTTGTGCTGTGCTCTCATTACTCGTAGTCGTTTCCGGTCCAGTCGTTACCATGTTGTCAGTCGATGAGTCATCTTCTGCCCCCGCTCTCGCAGACTCTAGGGGTATTCTCGTATGTTGACTTTCTGTAGCTAAAGCGGGTGTTTCCAACATACTGCGAAGCATGGGAAACTACAGAAATGGGAAGCTAACCCATGACCGCCACAAATTATAGCTCAACAAAGTGGCTTATCACGTGGACATTTATAGAAGCCAAATACTTTAAATGCATGTTGATTCTAAATGTGGAGGGAAAAACCGGAAGATCCAGAGAAAAATCCACACGACCACGGTGAGAGAGACATGTAAATTCCAAATATACAGCAGGCGTCAGGGTCGGGATCAAACCCACGACCTCCTGTGCACCAGGCGAGGGAGTTAAAATCTCGCCACCTGCGGCGCCCAAATACTTAGAGCTTCGCACGAATAGATACAGGAATCCACTGCTGTGATGGCAAGGGGGGGGGGGCGGTACCTGGGGCGTAGCGGCAGCGTCCCAAGTGCTTCACCTCGATGAAGAGGCCGTCGGAGCAGGCGGCAGCACGCAGCACGCACCGGTCCTGGTACGTGGTGTTGTCGGAGCCGCACACGGGGGCACGGCGCTCGGACGTGCGGCAGATTGTGTTGCACTGCAGGCAGCGCGCGGCAGCGCCGGTGCGCGGGTCCCTCACGCACCGCTTACCGGCCTCGCACGCCGAACCGTCATGGCAGGTGGGCGGCCCTGTGCGGAACGGCGCGGATCAGCCCGACGGACCGTTAGAAGTCGTCCTTGAAGCGGCGCAAAACTGGGTTTTGCTCATTGAATGCGCAGTTTCCCGGGTTGGGCCGCTTGTCGGGCATTTCTTCTCTCAAGCTTTTGCCATGCACTACTGCGGCCATCTTCAACGTCTGAAGATGCCCTCTGGGGAGAAGAGTTGTCTAATGCACAGCCCAACCCGGAAAACCGCAATTGGATTTTAAACGGCTGTTAAAAACGTACACGCTAAAGAGTCTTTTGTTGTAAATTTTTCGACCGCTGTCCCTCAGCACGTTATTTTGCCTGTTCTATCAGCTGCTGTGGGGATATGGGGTCTGGACCGTCGTCGCTGTCATGACGGTGGATTATCCACATCAACTTGGAAGGCTAGGAAAGAAGTTATATATCTTCGCCGTGGCTACTACAGCGACGGCTCCTATATAGTCAGTCAGCTATATAGTGAACGTCGTGTAGCAGTTATATATATATATATAGTCAACCTGCATCCAACTAATAACATGTCATCGAATCGGGTGGACGGTAATATATAATAAATATGTATATGTAACTTAAGTAAGACAGCGTCTTTGAGTGCTACATTACACATCGACTCAAAAACATCTTAAAATTTAAACAAACCTTATGTAGGACCTTCCTGAAAAAGTCATTGGACTGAGTGTACTTTCCTGGGTAAGCAAGTCATTATTATCCTCATAACAACGCTTGCACTTGTGGTCGTTGCCATAGCATCTGCACTATTAACTCGCAAAAATATTTGCATTCCCGATCACCAATAAGTGATTCAATCTGTGCAAAAAATCAGTGGATAGGCCCTGCCGGGACAGTGCTGGAAGAAAAACGTGCAACAGTTGATGTCCATCGTGGATATGGAGTGATGAAATCATCGAGTGTCTGCGCAGGAGCGAGATGAATCGGTGCATCGTGAGACGACGGGACATGCTATCGGAACGAATGGGCCTTCATCCAGCAGTAGATAGGTCATGCCTAATGGTGATAATGATAACGATGTTGTTGCATGTTTTCCCCTTATACAGCACAATAGCTGAGATTTCTCCAGAAATTTTGATTTCCAACCAATACGAAGCCAAGAAATAATAATGGAATGAATAGTGCCCAAAAACTGCAATGCAGTTTTGAGACTCGGTGAATCTTTCCTGGATAAAGCAATTACATGATGTGATAATTATCAGTTGGTGCCAGTTGTATGCCATATTGGCTGCAGCCGGAGTGAGGATGGAGTGAAGCAGGATGGAGCGAGGACAGATTGGATTAAGATGGAGCGACGACAGAGAGGAGGATGGAGCGAGGACAGAGAGAAGTATGGAGTGAGGAGAGAGTGGAGGAGGATGGAGTGAGGACAGAGTGGAGGATGATGGAGCGAGGACAGAGCGGAGGATGATGGAGCGAGGACAGAGCAGAGGATGATGGAGCGAGGACAGAGCAGAGGATGATGGAGCGAGGACAGAGTTGAGGAGGATGGAGCAAGGTATGAGTTGAGGAGGACGGAGCACAGACGTTGTGGAGGAGGATGGTGCAAGGACAGAGTTGAGAAGAATGTAGCGAGGAAAGAGTGGACGAGGGTGGAGCAAGGACTGAGTGGAGGAGGACGGAGCGAGGACAAAGTGGAGGATAATGGAGCGAGGACAGAGCAGAGGATGATGGAGCGAGGACAGAGCAGACGATGATGGAGCGGGGACAGAGTTGCGGAGGATGGACCGAGGACAGAGTGGAGGATGATGGAGGGAGAACAGAATGGAGGGGGTGGAGCGAGGACAGAGTGGAGGAGGATGGAGCAAGGGCAGGGTGGAAAAAAATGTAGCGAGGAAAGAGTGAACGAGGGTGGAGCAAGGGCTGCGTGGAGGAGGATGGAGTAAGGACAAAATGGAGGAGGATGGAGCGAGGACAGAGTGAAGGAATATGGAGCGATTACAGAGTGGAGGAGGATGGAGTGATGACAGAGTAGAGGATGAAACGAACACAGAGTGGATGAGGGTTGAGCAAGGAAAGAGTGGAGAAGGATCGAGTGAGGTCACATTGGCGGAGGATGAAGTGAGGTCAAAGTGGAGGAGGATGCAGCGAGGACAGAGTTAAGGAGGATGGAGCGAGGATGGAGTGCAGGAGGATGGAGTGAGGACAAAATGGAAGATTTAGCGAGGACAGAGTGGAGGAGTATGGTGTGAGGACAGATTGGAGGAGCATTGAGCGAGGACACAGTAGATGATGGAGCGAGGACTGAGTGGAGAAGGATGGAGCGAGAACAAAGTGGAGGTGGATGGAGCGAGGACAAAGTGGAGGACGATGGAGTGAGGACAGAGTGTAGGAGGATGGAGCAAGGACAGAGTGGAGAAGGATGGAGTGAGTACAGAGTGGAGGAGCATGAAGTGAAGGCAGAGTGGAGGAGGATGGAGCGTGGACACAGTGGAGGTGGATGGAGCGAGGACAGAGTGGAGGAGGATGGAGCAACGACAGAGTGGAGGAGGATGGAGCAACGACAGAGTGGAGGAGCATGAAGTGAAGGCAGAGTGGAGGAGGATGGAGCATGGACACAGTGGAGGTGGATGGAGCGAGGACAGAGTGGAGGACGATGGAGTGAGGACAGGGTGGAGCAGGATAGAGTGATGTCAGAGTGGAGGAGGAAGAAGCAAGGGCAGAGTGGAGGAGTATGGAGTGATGACAGAGTGGAGAAGAATGGAGCGAGGAGAGAGTGGAGGATGGAACGAGCACAGAGTGGAGGAGGATGGAGCGAGGACAGAGTCAAGAAGGATGGAGCAAGCACAGAGTGGAGGATGATTCAGCGAGGACAGAGTGGAGGAATATGGAGTGATTACAGAGTGGAGGAGGATGCAGTGAGGACAGAATGAAGGATGAAGCAAGGACAGAGGGCAGGAGGATGGAGCGAGGACAAAGTGGAGGAGGATGGTGCAAGGACAGAGTCGAGAAGAATGTAGCGAGGAGAGAGTGGATAAGGGTGGAGCAAGGACTAAGTGGAGGAGGATGGAGCGAGGATAAAGTGGAGGATGATGGAGCGAGGACAGAGTGGAGGAGTGATAACATAGTGGAGGAGGATGGAGCAAGGACAGAGTGGAGGAAGATGGAGCGTGTGGAGGATGATGTAGCTAGGACAGAGTGGAGGAGGATAGAGCAAAGACATAGAGGAGGATGGCACGAGGACAGAGTGGAGGAGTATTGACCGAGGACAAAGTGGAGGAAGATGGAGCACAGACAGAGTGGAGGAGGATGGAACAAGGAGAGAGAGGAGGAGGGTATAGCAAGGACAGAGTCAAGGAGGATGGAGCAAACACAGAGTGGAGGAGGATTGAGGGAGGACAGAGTATAGGAATATGGAGTGATGACTGAGGGGAGGAGGATGGAGTGATGACAGAGTGGAGAAGGGTAGAGCAAGGACAGAGTGGAGGATGATGAAGCGAGGACAGAGTGGAACAGAATGGAGCAAAGAGAAAGTGGAGTATTGTGGAGCGAGGACAGAGTGGAGGAGGATGGAGCTAGGACAGAGTGGAGCAGGATGGAGTGAGGTCAGAGTGAACGAGGGTGGAGCAAGGGCTGCGTGGAGGAGGATGGAGTAAGGACAAAATGGAGGAGGATGGAGCGAGGACAGAGTGGAGGAATATGGAGTGATTACAGAGTGGAGGAGGATGGAGTGATGACAGAGTAGAGGATGAAACGAACACAGAGTGGATGAGGGTTGAGCAAGGAAAGAGTGGAGAAGGATCGAGTGAGGTCACATTGGCGGAGGATGTAGTGAGGTCAAAGTGGAGGAGGATGCAGCGAGGACAGAGTTAAGGAGGATGGAGCGAGGATGGAGTGCAGGAGGATGGAGTGAGGACAAAATGGAAGATTTAGCGAGGACAGAGTGGAGGAGTATGGTGTGAGGACAGATTGGAGGAGCATTGAGCGAGGACACAGTAGATGATGGAGCGAGGACTGAGTGGAGAAGGATGGAGCGAGAACAAAGTGGAGGTGGATGGAGCGAGGACAGAGTGGAGGACGATGGAGCGAGGACAGAGTGGAGGAGGATGGAGCAAGGACAGAGTAGAGAAGGATAGAGTGAGTACAGAGTGGAGGAGCATGAAGTGAAGGCAGAGTGGAGGAGGATGGAGCGTGGACACAGTGGAGGTGGATGGAGCGAGGACAGAGTGGAGGACGATGGAGCGAGGACAGAGTGGAGGAGGATGGAGCAAGGACAGAGTGGAGGAGCATGAAGTGAAGGCAGAGTGGAGGAGGATGGAGCATGGACACAGTGGAGGTGGATGGAGCGAGGACAGAGTGGAGGACGATGGAGCGAGGACAGGGTGGAGCAGGATAGAGTGATGTCAGAGTGGAGGAGGAAGAAGCAAGGGCAGAGTGGAGGAGTATGGAGTGATGACAGAGTGGAGAAGAATGGAGCGAGGAGAGAGTGGAGGATGGAACGAGCACAGAGTGGAGGAGGATGGAGCGAGGACAGAGCCAAGAAGGATGGAGCAAGCACAGAGTGGAGGATGATTCAGCGAGGACAGAGTGGAGGAATATGGAGTGATTACAGAGTGGAGGAGGATGCAGTGAGGACAAAATGAAGGATGAAGCAAGGACAGAGGGCAGGAGGATGGAGCGAGGACAAAGTGGAGGAGGATTGAGCAAAGACATAGTAGAGAATGGCACGAAGACAGAGTGGAGGAGTATTGTCCGAGGACAGAGTGGAGGAGCGTGAAGTGAAGTCAAAGTTGAGGAAGATGGAGCGCAGATAGAGTGGAGGAGGATGGAACAAGGAGAGAGTGGATGAGGGTAGAGCAAGGACAGAGTCGAGTAGGATTGAGCAAGGACAGAATAGAGGATGGAGCGAGGACAGAGTGGTGGATGATGGAGCGAGCACAGAGTGGAGAAGAATGGAGCGAGGACAAAGTGGAGGAGTATAGAGTGATGACAGAGTAGAGGATGAAACGAACACAGAGTGGATGAGGGTTGAGCAA